GCTCGGTAGGGACGGGAGGCGGAAAACTGTCGTCGAGGAGGTGATTGTTGACTCCTCGATAATCAATACAAAAACGAAATTGAGGGACTCCTTCAGAGGAAAGACCTTTGCGAAGAAAGATGACGGGACTCTGCCACATGACATCATTGTTCCGCTCGATGATGCCGCGTGCCAACAAGAAGTCGATCGTTTTAGCGAGCTCCTCCTGGAGCGTCGCCGGAAGTCGGTAGGGGCGACGACGAATTGGACGAACGTCATCAGGAACCCGAAGGACAACGTCATACTGCCCCCGCGAGACAGGTGGCTGGATTGGTAGTTCGTCCACCAGAACATCGGAAAAATCCTCGAGTAGCTCCTGCAAGGCCGGAGCTGCGAGCGGCGAGGCCGACGAGGCGACCTGAGAGAGCAATGAACTGGTAGAAACAGGCGAGGACACGGTCGCCATGACCCAGGGCATCATATCCTCAGGTGGAGGAGGCTGAAGCGTGTTCCAGTCCGCATGCCAGGGAAAAATCAAACACTGGGCTTGCCGCATAGCCGCGGAGCCAGGACCAGGGATGTGAAATGCGAGCGGAAGGCGTTGACGCCCCGCAGTACCATCCTGCGCTGGAATAGTAACGAGCTTGGAATGAAAGTCGATATTCATTTTCATCTTGGCAATGAACGGTTGGGACAAAATCGCCGGCAGTGATGCTGGAGAGTCCAAAATGAAGAACGTTTCTTGCGTTTCAACATTGGTGCCTGCAATGCGAAACGGCAGGAGGCAGGTTTCACGAAGCACGACCTGGGCGTCGCCATGAGCGAACTGAGCGGTAAGCGTGGCGGGAATTCGCTGTGTGGTCAATTGGAGCTGTCGCGCAACCTGACGCGAGATCACACTGATCTCAGCACCCGAGTCAAGCAAAGCCAGGATCTCGGAAGTAGCAGCTGGCACCGGAGAGGTGAGTGGTACAATGGGCAGATAGAGAAGCGATCCTGAAGACGCCCCGTGCTCCTGAGAGCCAAGGGAGTGGAGTGCAATCGGATGCAAGTGTACCTCGAGAGCGTCACCGTCCAGAGGCACTTCATCTTCCAGTTCTTCAGCAAAATGCACCTGAGGACGGCGCTTAGGCGTCTTCGAGCGAGCAGCAATCTTGTTAGCTGCAACGGACGGAGCAGCCTTGCGGTCGTCGGAAGTCTGAACAGCGCCAAGCAGAGGCGGAGAGGAGGAGTCGGACGACTGCTCACGTTCAGGACTCTGACTGCGGCGGGTACGACGACACTCGGAAGATCGATGTCCGAGTTTGCCACAGTTGTAACAACGGATGGCATTGGTCGATGTGTTTGGGGACGAGGAGTCTCCCGCACTCCTGGCGTCCTGCCGAGCAGCACGGCGCTCTTTGAAGGCCGAAGCCTTGCCAGAAGGACGACTCTTGCGATCATTAGAATTAGAGGAGCGATTGCCCACCTGCACGGAGTAGAGCTGCCGGTGGGGATCTGCTCCCGTCGAATGGTCTTTGGTTCTGGTCTGATTGTCGATCTTGAGCGCGTACTCCCTGAGCTGACGGAAGTCAACATCATCCGAACGCTGTAGAGTCACCCACTGATTCAAGAGTAGAGCAGTCATATGCGATCGGACACCATTAATGAACCGTTTGCAGACCAGTGAGGACGTCGCAAATAATTTACCATCCGGAAGGAGCTGAAGTTGCTCGATTAAGGTCAGGGTTCGGGCAGCATACGAAGCAAGAGATTCCTGACGGTCTTGATTCAAATTGTCGAGTTGGTGAATGAGAGTCGACAGCAGGTGAGGAGGCAGGAATTTTTCACGAATTTCCTCTGAAAATGTATCCCACTCCATGCGGCGAAAGGTCTCTGGCGGGTACTTGGCCACGAAGTGTTGGCGCACTGGAGCATCCAGTAAATCGAGGGTATGGACAACCCAGTTGGCTCGGGGGATACCATACACAGCAAAGGAGTACTGAATGGTTTGAACCCATGTCAAGACATTGTTGGCGCTAGTTTGGCGGGCAGTATCCAACTTGGGGAGATTGCGCAACTTAGCAAGCAATTGCTGATCAGCCAGAGAGACCAGCTGAGGACCGTCACGCGAGGAGATGGGGGGCGGTCCAGGCTTGAGAGCGGCGGGCGGGACCGCCTCAGAAGAAGCAGGAGCTTCGAGAGCGTTCAACCGCTGCTGAACCTCCAGCAGCGCGGCAGACATGTTTTGGAGCGACCGATCCTCGGTCGATTCGGGACGAAGATCGTCGTCAATGCCGGCAGCAGATTGCCAGTCATGTTCCAAAGTATCCGTAGCATTCTCGTCCAGCATGCGAGCTGCGAGTCGAGTATTGTATCCGGACATCTACGCGACGTAAGCGTAGGAAGAAGCAGAAGAACAGTGGAGAAAGGGAGGGGAAGAGAGAAGACTCGATCTCTGTCACCGATCACAACCTTGCTACCAATTTTATGTCACACCTCGAAGATTCTCGAGTGGACCTTCAAGCGCAGTTCAATAAGAACTCACGTTGGATTTCTCTACTAAGAGGGAAAGCGGTGAAACAGAAGGAGATCTAACTCTCTTTTATTTCTTTCACACACACACACAAAACAAGACAAGACGATACACACAAAGACGTCTCAACAATCGTGGCACACACACGAAAGGGGAAGAGGACCACCTAGCTCTGACGAGTTTCATCCTTTTATAGCTTCGAGGAATGAGCCAGGGGTGCCGTCTCTTGGCTACAGAAAGGAGGGGTGTCCTGTTCTTGGAAGTTGACAAGCATCCCTTCTGACCTTCGAGAGGATACCATGCTCTCTCGCAGGGAAGAGAACCCCGTCCTTGCATGGCAGCAAGCTGTTTCCAACGGGTCGTACTGCACAAGACGCACCCCTTCTGTTTACCTTGTAAGTCCCCCACGGGTACACGGTTGCTGCAACAAAGGCCTCCACAGGGGTCCTTTCAGCAGCTTCACACTGGAGTAGAGTATCCTGGGTCATCCAGGAGAAGTCAGCTTCGAACACGAGTACGAGACAGCCAACTGTCCTTTCATCCTGATAGGCCTTTGTCTGACTCGGGCTCGGTTCCTATGAGCTCTGACAGTATGGCAGTAGAGGCTTGTGCTACAGAGCGCTTGTCATCTGGGGAGGGAGAAGACTGGGGGCTGCCAGTCGAGCATGACAGGCTCTGAGTCTGACTGCTGAGACTCGTGTATGTGAAGGACGTCGGACAAGAGGGAGGAGGCATGGGGTACAAGAGGTCGGTCAGCGAGTGAGCGATACTTTGAGGAGCTTCACGGCATACCATGATACACAGATACCCTCTTACACGCCCCCGCTACAGCCCTCGAAGGTGCCGTGCCGTGACTTGTAGGTGAGTATCGGTCGTCCTCCTCTGGACCATGCATGCCTGCTCGTGAGGGCCCGGCGAAGTTAACCGTAGAACACCCGGGCCTCCGAGTCCCCCGCTGTCTGCTCCCGGCCGAGTAGCCTGGTGATCGGACCGTACTGTCTCACCGTCTCTCAGGGCACACCCCATCACCCGAGGGCCTCCAGCTGAGCCCCAGCGACTCATGTACCACCGGCGGCCAGCCACTCCTTGACTCGCTGACCGTACGGAGTACGCCGCCCGGGCCCGGCTGCCCGGGCCCCCCGGAAGACGGTTTCGAACTTGAACTCGGAGGCTTCATGTACGGTATTGAGGGGGATTTTTAACGGAATTAACTTTGCTATTCAGGCTAGGGTAGGGATGCTATGACGCTTCATATGACCCTTTTCCTACGTCAAAGTTAATTAACTAGAAAAGCCCAGGCACACAGCTAGTAAGATAATAATCTTCAGGAAAAAGGTGGGGTATATGTAGTCAAAGGAGGGGGTAGTTAATACCTGGGGTCATTCTTGAAAATCAAGAGGGTGTTGGAAATTCCGCATGCGCAGAATGGTGGGGGGGTAGGGGTGGTGGTAGGCTAGTAAAGTAGGGGTTCAGATATGGGTGAAAGGGGGTAGTGGTGAGGGGAGGGGTGGAGGTGCATCCTCCCTGGACCCAAAGGGTTCACTGAAATGGCAAAATCTTGTGGATAGAATATGAAATATCGTTCCAAAATTTGAAAATTTAGATGACAATTAAGGCAACTTGCCAATAATGTGGTCTCTTCCTTCGCCATTTTCTAGGGAATCCAATTTCACTCCCCTACCCTCCTCCCTCCTCCCTCCTCCCTCCTCCCTCCTCCCTCCTCCCTCCTCCCTCCTCCCTCCTCCCTCCTCCCTCCTCCCCCTTTCCCTGCATCCTCTTGCTCTCTCCCATTCTCATCTTCCTCCCTCCATCCCTCAAACGTTCTTTCGATCCCTCGTCCTCCGCATCGTCTTCCCCCCTCCTTTGGATTGTTCGACCTCCTTTTCTGATTTTACAACATTTTATCTTTCTGCTGTCTCTATCCTGGTAAATACATTTCTTCACTTCTCTCCTCTCCTCTCATCTTCCTCTTCCTCTTCCTCTTCCTCTTCCTCTTCCTCTTCCTCTTCCTCTCCCTCTTCCTCTTCCTCTCTTCTCCTCTTCTTCGCTCGCTCGTGCGGGAGGCTTGTTCACATGCCGTCATCCGCCTTCCAGGGATGAAATTTTGAGCCGCCAACATGCTTGGCGCCCTCAGAAGGAACAAGCGCGATGCTCGAGCTCGCAACGATGGCGATGCCGATCGTCCATCCAGGGCCTCGTTGGACGCGCAGCGAGTGCAGGTGGCGCTGCCCAAGGCAGATGACTGCATCATGTACGGGGAGCTGAAGCGACAGATCGGGTGAGAGAGGAGGCAGCTTGACAGGTGGAGGGACTAACAGGAGGAGCAGGGACTCGCAGCACAGGTGGAACGTTAGGGAAGTCAGGCTGACCTCATATGCCATCTCCTTCGGCAAGCCAGGGTCTGAGCACCTGCTGGATATGATTCCACTGCATGAGGTCTCGAGTATCACCTTCCAAGACACGACTAGACGCGGAAGGTGAGGGAGAGCGAGGAGGAGAGAGGGGGAGAGAGAGAGGGGGGGGGGGGGAGAGAGGAGATGCTGATTGTGTTTGACATGTCTTATCAGTCGCATGTCGCAAAGGGGATCACTCAAGAAGTCGTTTCGGCGAGTACCGTCAACAGACTCCTACTCGTTTGACGTGGACGAGGAGGACTTGACGTTTGTCATTAACCCCATAAGGAACGGGTACAACCTAGGACGAGCCTGCGTTCTCCGAGCTGAGACTTCAGACTCCTTCTACCAGTGGGTCTCCTGCATTGAGGCTCAAGTCAACAGGGCAAGGAAAGAGTTCAGGAGGAGGCAGAACCAGACCGTGTTCAAGAAGTATCAGGTCAAACTGAGGGCCCCATATGAATCAAATCTCGTCAAGTTGGTGATGGCCGCTACCATATCAGCCGCGTTCATCACAAGCCTGCTGGACGCAGAGTTTGCGCCTGAAGACAATACTGAGCTGAGAGAAGCGATCAACGCCTTGGAAACTTCCTTCACCGTCTTCTTCACCGTCGACCTCTTGACCAACATGGTCAGCCCGGCCGCGCTCGCTCGCGGTCTTTGACATTTTTGTTCTGCCAGTACGCCAACTGGTCTCGCTGGTTCTTTGCAAACCCCTGGAACATGCTGGACCTGCTGGTGGTGGTGATCTCAGTTACCTCGGAGTTCATCAACAACCTGCCCTCCGTCGCTCTCTTCCGCATCCTCCGCATCTTCCGCATCGCCAAAATCTTCAGGTGCTGATAGAGAGTGTGAGGTAGAAGAAGAGAGGAGGGGGGAGGAGAGAGGAAAGAGTGAAGCAAGGGAGGAGGAAGGAAAGGGGGGGAAAGAAGAAGGGGAGGAGGTAGAAGGAAAGGGGAGGGAGGAGGGAGGAAGGAAAGACGGGAGAGGCGAGGGGAAGGAGGGGGGGTTGGAAGGAAGGGGGGAAGAAAGGAAGGAGAAGAAGAGAAGGAGAAGACAAACAGGAGGTAGAAGGGAGGAGGATGGATTGAGGAAGGAAAGACGGGAGAGGAGGAGGAGAGGAGGAGGAGGAGGAGGAGGAGGAGGAGGAGGAGGAGAGAGTCAAACAAGGGAGTGGAAAGAAAGGGGGAGAAGAAGAGAACGAGGTAGAAGGGATAAGGGAAGGGATTGAGGAAGTAAAGACTAGAGAAGAGGAGCAGGAGCAGGAGGAGGAGGATGATGATGAAGCAGGAGGAGGAGGAGGAGGATGAAGCAGGAGGAGGAGGAGGAGGATGAAGCAGGAGGAGGAGGAGGAGGATGAAGCAGGAGGAGGAGGAGGAGGAGCAGCAGCAGCAGGAAGATGTAAGATTGAATGGAAGTGATCAGATGGATGGGGTCGCTCTCAAGGATAGTGATTGCTCTGTATCACTCGTTCAAGCCTGTTCTCAACACTTTCTTTCTCCTCGCCATCGTCATCTGCATGTAAGTGCTTCTCAACCCACTTGTCCTCCATTCTTACTCCCTCGACTTATGCAAGATATGCAATCGCTGCTACTCAATTCTTTGCCAAGTACAATCATACTTTCTTTGGCAAGTTTTCATTGAGCCTGTTCACTGTAAGTTGCTTCCTACTTGTTGGGGGGAAGGAAGGAGCAGAGAGGAGAGGAGAGCGGAGCGGAGAGGAGAGGAGAGGAGAGGAGAGGAGGAGCGGCGGAGGGGAGCAGAGGGGAGGAGAGGAGGAGAAGAGGGGAAGATGAGACGAGACGAGACGAGACGAGACGAGACGAGACGAGAGCAGCAGAGAGATGATTGATTGCTGCAGATGTTTCAGCTCGCAACAGGAGACGCGTGGGCTTCACTTGTAGTGCGACAAGTCATGGATGACCTCTCGCATGCTGGAAACTCAAACTCAGGACTGGTGAGTTTGACAACCGGAGGTCGATCCTGGCAACTTGAGAACTCTCTGTCATACAACTCGGAGAAGACTGTTGGATCTGCAAGTTTTGAGAGTGACAAGTGTTTGTTTGCAGTGCGCCATCTTCTTCGTCTCTTACATGCTCCTGGTCAACATCGTCTTCCTCAACATCGGTCAGAAAGCTTCTCCTCTCCACGATCTCCTCCCTTCCTTTCAAACTCTACTCGCACTCGCTCTGCTGCTCCTACTGAACCACTCGAGTGCTGCCACCCAAATCTTCTCCCCGGCTCCCCCTGTTCCATCTTGGACTTCCTACTGCTGCCCCTGCTCCTGCTCCTGCTCCTTGTTCTCCTGCTCCTGCTCCTGCTCCTTGTTCTCCTGCTGCTGCTGCTGCTGCTGCTGCTGCTGCTGCTGCTGCTGCTGCTGCTGCTGCTGCTGCTGCTGCTGCTGCTGCTGCTGCTGCTGCTGCTGCTGCTGCTGCTGCTGCTGCTGCTGCTCTATCTTCATTTATTTTTGTTGACTTGTCGAATCAGTTGTTGCAGTCCTCCTTGACGAGTAAGTTTTCTCTCCTATCCTCCTCCCTGCCGCTGCCTCTGATTTTCTTCCGCCTCCTGATTTCACTTCTCCTGCTCCTCCTACCTGGCCGCCTCCTCCTCCTTTGTTTTTCTTCTCCTCCAGCCATCTTTCATTCCCCACCTTCTTCACCTCCCCATTCACCTTCTCCCTTTCCCTCCAGCGCCAGCTCCTTGTCCTCCTCATCTCCTTCTCTCCCTCCTCCTCACCCTCTTCCTAATCTCCTTCCTCTCTCTTTCTCCTGCTCCACCATCGGCTGCTGCTACTGCTGCTGCTGCTGCTGCTGCTGCCCCTCCTTCCTCCTCCTCCTCCTCCATGCAGGATGTCATGGTCTTCTTCAGGTTCATCACCACCAAGGAAGCGCTCCGGCAGATCCGCGAGGAGGAGAAGGCAGAGATCACAGGAGCAGACCAGGAGAGTCTGCGGGGCCCCCTCGACCCTCTGCTGAGGGCGCTGGTGGGGTTTCAGTCCAGCAGGGACCTCTCCTCGCGCCTCTCTCTCCTCTTCGAGCGCCTCGACGTCGACGAGCACGGGGCGCTGAAGTTCGAGGAGGTGCGGGAGGGGCTGAAGAAGCTAGAGCTGCATCCTCCCATTCTCCTCTCGGTCGAGGACTGGGAGCACCTGACGGAGAACGGGCTGCTGCTCAACGGGAGGGAGGAGATGACGTTCGAGGGGTTCGAGCGGATGGTGCGTCTGGGCATGCACAACTTCATGAGGAGGATGCTGGTTCAGAGCATGGAGAGCTGCGAGGACAGTCGGAGCTACGACCTCCTGCTGTCCCTGAAGATGCTGCTGGAGCCTCCTCTCTCGCAGGAGGAGAGAGCGCAGCTCGAGTCTCTCCGGAAGCCTCGCTCCATCGTCTCCTCCCTCCTCCCCCTCCAGAAGAAGTTCTTTCAGCTGTGGAAGGAGGCGGCGAGCAGCAGCAGCAGCGCTCCTCCTCCTGTCCCCGCCTCGTCCTTCGACCTCCTGCTGGAGCGAGTCGAGCAGCTGGTGGACCAGAAACTTACCTTCTTCCTCGAGAGAGTCGCTTCCTCCCTCCCCCATCCTCCTCCCTCCTCCTCTCCTCTTCCTTCCTCGCCTCCTCCCTCCTCCCCTCCCTCGAGGAGGAAGAAGTTTCAGCCGCCTGTCTCCACCCAGGGGAACGCGCTGGTCACTGCAAGCTGGTGTACAACTCCCAAACGACCCCAGCTCCTTCCCAGCTGTGTCTCTCACGCGCAGGTAGGAAGGTGGAGATCGGAGAGGCTGCGGAAAGCAGGAGGAGGAGGAGGAGAAGGTGCAGGAGGAGGATGGAGGAGGAGGAGGAGGAGGAGGAGGAGGAGTGCAGTCGGTAATTTCTCACCTCGAGGGAAAGCTCATGGGTCATATCCTTCCCTCTCCCCTCCTCTCCTGCCTGTAGCTCCTCGCCCTCGTCCCCTCGCGGCCCCTCACCTTGAGATTTATTCTTTCAGCTCTAATAGAAATGTTG